TTTTTTTTTTTTCATATTTTTCTGACTTCCTCTCCAAGTTCAGTTGATACTAAACTGATATTCGAATGTACTGACTATTTACTTCACCACTTTAGTACTATCCCAATCAGCTGTTAGTCCATTTTGCCATATTCGAGAATACCCCATAGGGTACATTTCTGCTTATTTCTCTCCTCATGATACTAGAGCTCTATTCGCATGCAAATTTGCATAGATTTTTGAAAAAGTCATTGCGGTGGAAGCATTTACTTTGTTTTTGCATACTTATCCTTTAGCTCAAACAATTCAGCTCCAAATCAACTACGAATAGATTAGGGGAAGGGCAAAGGGATGGAGTTAAATGTTTTTGGCTATGACTGATGAATATGGCATCATTGTAATAATACTTATCTAAATATTAAATGCTAATTGCCTTGTTAGGTCTTAAAAGAATCGTAAACGCTATTAAAGAGCTAAATGTTAGCTAATTTTCCGAGTGTAGTTAGATCAGGACAGCAGATTTTCTGGAATTTCGGTCATGCTTAATGGATGTTTCAGCCCAACGAAAGCAACCTCATCTATAAATAATCATTCAATTATTTATACATCGGTCTACTCAAAAACAGCACCGAAATGGATGCGATTTGGCAGTTTCTTGTTCAGACTCCCATCGTTTACAATTCACTATGAGAAGCGTGCAGCTGAAAAAACTGAAACTGTGCACATGGGGAACAAAGAGTTGATATGTACTGGTGGCTCATACGCCGATATTGTTGTTATTATCGGTTAGAACGCTTGTAATTTTTTTTTTTTTGGCTCACGAAATGGTTAATAAATGACCCATCAGGGGTCCGGCACGACTGCTTGTTTTTATGATATGCTACATCGGTACTTAGAATTTCAGAGAACATTCTTAAATTTCATTCTCTCAACTTTGATAGCTTTGGATTATCTAATCGCGATGTGTAAACATTTACATGTACAAAAGCATAGTCCAGCCAATACCGGTTTTTCTTATAAAACTGAAGTGCAAATGTGGAATTAACATAACTTTTTCAAGTCTACTTTCCTTCTTGCGATTGATAATCTTCTTTTTTTGTTGACTAGAAATAACTGATTTTCTAAAGGACCTATTAAAAGTTGGCAAAAAAGAAGTCACCGCGAAAAAATATGTACTTCAGATGGTAACGCAGATGAGAAGGGATAATGCATGCTGCCGAAAACGCAGATACACCAAAGAAGTATTCCTGGCTGGCCCACGAGAATATGAACTGGTGATGCAGTGGTTTAGCACGTCACGTCCAGATGTGAATAGGAGTGGTTCGATCCCTTTTTGGATCATACTGGCCTGCAAAAAAGGGCTTTGTTGGCAATTGTCAGTGCATCTGATGTCTTTCAGTCTTAACAAAAAAATCTGTACTTCATTTAGTTGGTCCGTTAAGGAGCAGGCAGGAGTGAACTTCGCAGATATGGCATTGCTTACACTTGCCGTTACTTCAGTATGATAAGGTGCTTGAAGACAGTGTTTACTTTTATTGGTGACGTTTGAGTTGTCTGGTTCAGGAAGCTTGGACCAGTTACTGAGCACCGATGTGCTGAACATGGTGCTCTTTTCACATGAAACAGTTATTTCTGAAACGACACATATCATGGAAATTTTTCGTGGCTCTTTGCGTCCCGAGAAAAGCTCGTCCGCTACTCCGCCGTTTCTCTTCCAAGTGCAAGTAAGTAATTTTTGTTCTTAACTAACTGCTTTAACAGCGTTACCAGTGATACATTCAGCTTTCCCATAGGTTTTATCGTTGAGCTGAAAACTTTGCCTTTTCTGCCAAAAATAGTACGAATTCAAAAGGATATACGGCACTTTTATCTCTTAAACAGCATTTTCAATTTCAGCTATTTCTTTCAGTGTAGTTAGTAGTTGTGATTTTGCTCGATGTCGCTTGTTAATGAGTGTAATTTGCAACTGTGATAAAAAAAACCACACAACTGAGGACAGTGAAGACGTTCCGCTCAGGAACCGAGAGTTTTTCGTAACTGCATCCAGTACATAAGAGCATTCCACTTATATCACTACAACATGGCATACCGTTTTAGTCTTAATATTCTTGGGAAAATTCTCCCGCCCCCGTATACGCTCTCAGTGAGACGCGTAGGCACGCAAGAAGCAGTCCGAATGGAAGCAACTGCCAATGGCAACCACCCACTGGCAATGATGTTATCACCTCTCTCTTTTGAAGTTGCTCGCAAACATGCCAATGACGGATTTTACTCCTTGTCGTATGCCAGCCATTCTTAGTTTATTCATAAATATAATGAAAGCAGCTAACACGAATTTGCAAATCCTTCGATAAAAATTGCCCATGATTATTTTTTTTCAACAAAGTTAATGAAATGATTCGTTAATAATATATAGCGAAACTGCTTCTTTAGCATTCTTAAGCAGCCACGGGAGAAGGTTTCGTCAGTCATTGTATGGCTGGTGTAGTGCCTCCGACAAATTTCATATGCTTTATTTCAAACAGAGAAAAAAAATATGGAGTTTTGAATTTAAATTTCAGAGTTATTCCATTCAGTAAAGTCATTTCATCAGCTTATTTTTCTGACAAAATTTTTGTTCATTTGAACAAGAAAATTTGAAATGGCAACAGGCAAGATACAATGCCAAGCATTTTTCCGCAATAATTATGAGGCATTCCTTTTTCAACTCCGGAATTTTAAGATACGCAGCGAAAATGTGTCGCCGTGGCTTAGACTAACCCTCACTGATACAACCAACACAGCATTCCGTGTTATGGTCGAAACTTTCGACTTGTTCTTCAGCAGTCGTAATGTCCAGAACATTGAGATCTCCGAGGTATACCTTGCGCATTTTTATGCTTTCTTAAACCGCACCTATTGTGTAAGGATAATGGAGACGTTTGTATGTATGTTTGTGTATATATATATATATTTATATATATATGTGTGTGTGTGTTTGTAGATGTGTGTATATGAGAGTTTCAGAGATATCATATATATATGCCACCAACTGGAAAAACTAGGAGACGAAGATTTGTGTGTCTTGTGACGTGCAAAAGACCTGGAATCTTTGCTTTTTGCCGTGTTCCTTAACGCCAGTTTAAATTTGGATGAAATTTGTAAACATGAAATGAATGTGTTTTTTGATTTTTGGATACGGTTTTCGGAAATTTTAATAATTTCTCCGCTCGTGCGAAGTCAGAAAGCGTACGGAACACACTATCAAAAACACTTTCTTGCTACTGTCAAAAACACTTTCTTGCCAAGTCTGTTTGTTTTGTGTGCATTTCTGCTACTTATGATGGTAATTCAATTCCATAACTGCAAAAACAGGAAGCTGAAATTTGGCAAAATTTTGTTAACCACGTGTGCGGAGCCAAAAACATAAACTGTCACATCTTCCTATATGTTAAGGAAAAGCCTTGGGTTTAGCACTACTACATTTCGTCGTACTAACACATTCGCAACAGGCAGGGCAGTGACCGTATTTCTTACCTTCCACTAAACTGAATATTATTGTCCAAAAACCAGGACTCCAAGTGCGATAAAATAAGTTTTGGCGCATTCACTCATTGTGAGTTGCAACAGCACACAGTAAACAAAGGCTGGAACGCACCAGGCGAGCCGGTGCGATCATGCGTTTTTGCATCAAAACTAAA